CCATAAGTTGTCATATTTTCAGAATCTCAGCATAAGTATCTCAACATAAATATCTGGCTGAAGCAGGGAAAACTTCCTTTATCAGAGCAAACTGGATGGATCTAGCTCAAATTCATCTCTCTCATGTCAGATATAGCTGAAAGCCATAAGAGCAGCCAATGCATAGTAACATTTTAAAATCTTCTACCCACTTTCCTTAATGCTACACCCTTGATTAGTATATAATCTGTTTAAAACAAATCACTAGTAGTGGATTTACACATATTTTTCCATGCAATAGCTCTTGTTATCAGCTTTCCAGCCTGTAACATGTGTCCTTACTGCCTGTTAACAGATTACAGGTCTGAAGCCTTATACTGAGGCTTCTCTTAGATGAAATCCCACTTTTGGTATGAAGTTAGTTTTTGTGAAAAAGTAGTTTTAATGTTGTAGCATTAGGGAAAGTAGATCGAAAATTTTAAGATCTAACCACAAAGGAGAGAAAAGGTAAATTAGATCTGAAAACCACTTACAGTATTGACAAGCTCTGTGAAACTGATTTTTTAGTTAACACTAGAGATAACACTATAGCTAGCAGTATTACTGTGACGAGCCTATTAGCTAGTATATATAAAGTCATTAGTCTTAAGTCTTGCATCATTCTATGAAGCACACAATTAATAAAAATGATAATTATTACTATGCGACATGTGACACCTGACAATTCAGAGTTTGGTGGAAGGAGTATTTTATGAGAGCTAATCAGATAGTTAACTAAGTATGGTATCTCTAATGATTTGTTTATTTACTACTTAACAAACTTCATATTTTGTAATCTGACAAAGATTACTTAAGTACTCTAAGTAATTTTTTGAGTGTTTGCTTTTCAGATTCAAGCTATACTGTTTGCCAAAAAACAAAACAAAACAAAACTATTGTCATATATTGACCTATTCTGCTCACTGGCACCTTTGTTATTAATAACATTAATAATAATGGTAATATTATTAATAGGAAAATCTCTGCAAACAATGAATAGCAATGAACGTTCTATAGATCTTATATAAATGACTAGATGAATACTTTCTGAATATATGAAAATGTTTAGGGTTTTTCAAAGACAATTGAACTGTATTTTGGCAGAAAGCTATCAGTAATGTAATGTTGATTTTCTACTTAAGGATAAGCAAAAACAATAAAGAATATGATTACTGTACCTTTTCTAAAACTCATAGAGAAAATTTTCTATTCTGCAAATTTAAATCAGCAAATCAAGAATTATTGCTAAGTAATTAACATGGACTATGATTTGGGCTAAAATATACATTTTTCAGATAGTTGATCAAAATAGTCCATAATAACTTAGTTGTTTTGAAATAATCATTTATTTATTGACTAACAAGTCATCTTTGTTTATCATAGCTCAAAATGTAAGCTTAAAAGAAGCTTTAGCAATAATTCAATGTTTTGTGTCCATTGCTAGTGGAGAAAACTGCTAGAGCAAACAAATGATCTCTACAGTAATCTACAAGTGTAATAGATTAGATATATATATACTGAGGATACCTGTTGTGCTCATGATAGAGTTTGTGAAATGTCTAAAGAGTAACATTTTCTGGCTGCTCTTCCCATACTGTTGCTCAAGAAGAGTCAAAGAATCCATGTTTCAGGGAATTGGGAGATATAATTTCGGCTTATAACTGCTCTAAGAACAGCAGTTATTCTTTCTGTCAAAATCTGGGAAGATATAAAATCCCCTCAACTGCTAATGTGCAAGACAGACTGTACAGGTGACCATACTGAGAGCCAAGCGAAGAGAATGAAAAAGCATACTCAAGACAGAGTGAGCAATGAATCATCAGAGCCTCACAAATAATTTTTAAAAACCCCTTCCCAGAAGTAATGAAAATAGGAAGAACCAAAGTTTTTTAGTGCTGATTATTGGTAGATGTTGTACTTGACATTTATTCACTCATTTAATTCTCACAAGACCCCTCAAAGTAGGTATTATTATTGTCCTCATTTTACTGACAAGAAAACTAAGGGGTCAGAATTTAAGTGCCTGCTATCTTAGTCTCTTTTGTGTTGCTATAACAGATAGCAGAAACTGGGTGATTTGTAATGAACAGAAATGTATTTACCCCTTAGTTCTGGAGGCTGGGATGTCCAAGACTGAGGGGCTGCATCTGTCAAGAGCCTTCTTGCTATGTCATCCCAAGGCAGAAGGACAAAGAGAGGGTGAGAGAGAGAGAGCAAGAGACTGAACTTGCAGCTGAAGCCCTTTTACAATCGAAATTAATCCATTCATGAGGGTGGAGCCCTCATGAACTAAGCACCTCCCATTAAGCCCCACCTCCCAACATTGTTGCTTTGGGGATTAAGTTTCCAACAAATGCTTTTGGAGGGACACATTCAAACCATAGCACTTGTCCAGGTTCACATGCTACTGTATAAGTAACAGAGCTGGGATTTGAACAAAGGTTTTTCTGTGTTGGGTACAAATATAAAAAGCGATGTGATACCAATTTCGTTACTGTTGAAAGTCCTTGGAAATAGGTATTTTTTTTTTTTTGAGTCATGCCAGGGTACCAAACGATAATTTGTATTTGCAAATTTAGTTTTCGTTTTAGTCAGAAATCTTTAGATAAAGAATGTAATTTTTAATAAGACATGTATCTTAACAAAATTTCCTTATGACAAAACATGGCAAATGAAGAAAAAAAGCCATCAACTAGGCCACAAAAATCCCATTGCCCCAAAACAAAAATTGAACAGATCACATTTGATAAACATAATAAAATTATTAATAACAAAATAGAATAAATACAAAGAAAAAATACAGAAAGTTAAGTGCTCCTAAATAACTATTGAGTCAAAGAGAAATCTAAAATAATTTCAGATGTAGAATATTAAAAAAATGATACCACTACCCATTAACTGTCCAATTTATTACTTAATGCTTCTTAAACAAAAAATGGAGAATGAAAATATATTAATTAAACAAAAAATTAGAGAATGAAAGTTTAAAAAAACAAAATAGAAATCAATAAAGATACCATAAGTCATGAATTAGAATACAGGATAGCAGAAAAAATAATAAATTCTAATAGTTGAAAAAAATGTAGGCAAAATTCTGAAAATTTTAATTCAGGAGCACTAGAACTCACCTCAAAATGACAAATGTTTGAGGTGATGGATATGCTAATTATACCGATTTGATTATTACACATTGTCTACATGTATCATAATATCACACTGTAGGTAGGTTCAATGCCACCACCTATTGTCCCAGCTACTCAGGAGGCTGAAGCAGGAGTACACTTGAACCTAGGAGTTTGAGGCCTGTCTGGGCAATATAGTGAGACCCTGTCTCTATTTTTAAAAAAATAAAAATATATCACATTTTACCCATAAATATGTATAATTATTGTGTCAAACATAATAAAAGCCAAAAAAGAAAAGAAAATAGAATTCCCAGTTCAATTAAGTGAAACAAACAAGAAAGGAATGCATAAATCACAAAGCATAAATTCAATTACATAAAAATAAAATCTGTGTGAATCAAAGCAAGCCACAAACAATGTAGAAAGATAATCTACAGACTTGGAAAGACATTTGTAATTAGTATAACTGACAAAGGAGTAAAACCCCAAATATTTAAAGCATTCTCATGTATCAATAAAACAATTTTTTAAAGCACAAAAATGGGAAAAAATATAAAGAAATAAGTTTTCAAAAAACACCCTAGTGCCCAGTGTATACATAAAAGATTCCCATTTTCACCAATAATCAAGAAAATGCAATAAAAATCTCAAGAAATATGATATCTTGCATATCACATTGCCAGGAAATTTTTTAAAAACAATTAAAATTGTTGGCAAGGATGTGGAGCAAAGGGGCTCATACACAGTGGTAAGAATATAAGTTGGCCAAATCATTTTTTAAAATAAACTATCCATAATTTGAAAAGTTGTAGATATGTATGGTCCATGCCATAGTTACTTCACTTCCAGCTTTATAGCATAGAGAAATTCTCACACAGGAGCACAAGAAAACATAATCAAAAATGTTTATTGCAGCAATGTTTGTAAGTACATGAAATTGAAAGAATTTAAATATTAATCAACAGGAACATGGATAAATAAGCAAATTATAGCATATGGATACAATGGAATTCTATATCATATTAAAGTGACTTACTTAGACATACTCATGGACACCAGGATGAATCCTACAAATACTGAACAAAAGCATCGTGATGCAGAATGCCTAGGTATTAATATAATATTATTTGCACAAAATTTAATAATATGCAAATATTTGAAATAATTTAGCCCTCCCAAAATTATATGAGAGAATAGTGCAGACAAAAATAGATAAATGCTTCCTAATGGTTTGGTGGCTGGAGGGAGAAAAAAAAAAAACAACCAAAAAACCAAAACCAAAATAGACAAAACAAAACCAAAATAATTTTTGAAGCTGGTTGATAACCACATATGTTCATTGATTATTCTCTCTATATTGCTGTTTGTTCAAAAATGTCTAACAATTTTTAAAATGTCAAATACATGAATATGTAGTAAAAGTGTGACATATATGGGAATGATTAAAGACAATTTCTGGATAATAGATTACTCAAGAGGAGTGGGTAGAGAAATAGATGCAGTTGGATGAGCTATTGGTGAATTTTATTTCTAGCACTGGACAGTAGATATCCATAAATCAACAAGTTATTTGTTGATTTATTCCTTGTAACTCTGAGTATGTCTGAAATGTCTTATTTAAAAAATGACCAATGGGAAAAGGGAGATATTATTCAATAAATTGTTTGGGAAAATTGGTCCTTTGGAAAAAACACAAGCTAGAGTTTTATTGGCATAGAGATTTCTAGATCTCTATTTCTAGACCAGTGTTTCCAGTATTCCTCCTCTCTGTGGTTATACTCTGTTTCTGACGAAAGAGCTCTGATAGATCAATTAAGAGCTAATGAATAATTGTCCATGCTCATTCCTCTGTTGCAGACATCTGTGTGTAGAAAAATGGAGCCCCAAGTTTTGCAGTGGGAACACACACATTTGGTAAGACTGTCGCTTCTCATAGTGTGAGAGGCAGAATGTGTACCTGATGAATGTGTACGCATTCTCTAATGTGAGAATTTTCAAAACAGATAGTAATGTGTGTGGTTGCTATGGGCTATATTTGGTAAGGAATTATTTTTAAAAATCAGCTCTGGAAAGAATAGTCTGTTTGCGAGCAAGAATGAAAGGAAATAGGTCAGATATTTGAGGTCTTGGATGAGTTGAAATAGTCATTGCTGAGCCAATTACAAAAACAAGCAAACAAAACAACAGCACAAAAACAAATTAAGGGACTGTGCTTTTACTTGTTAAAAGCCTTTAATGGAATAAAATTCCTCTGGGCAAAGATCAAACTCAGGGCCAGAGGCCCAGTAGTAACCTTTTCAATTGGAAATATGGCTCAGGTGAAAGAGTTTAAGGGTTTAGTTTTCCCATCACATTCAGAGAGATTCAAGATCTCTACCACCTCCTTAAACTGGGAGAGGTGTAGGCACAAGAATGTAAAGAAATACAGTTAATTTGAGAAGTATGTTAGGGAAAGAATTGTAGCTGTAATTACTGGCACAAGGAATTAATTAATTGGAATCCAGCTGGTTAGAAACAAAGTTTTAAGAGCTGTATTGCTAAAGAGATTGTGCCTGCACCAAAAGTGTTCAAGACTGTTAAAGCCCCCAAAGAACTTCTGGGCCTTGGGCAGTAAGTGGGTAAGAAAGCTGCATGTTCCTTAAGACCCATTTTAAATAATGAGACCAGGAAAAAATGAAAAGGAAAAAAAAAATCTCCCTGAGAAAGGAGCCAGAAGTCACACAGAACAAGGACCAAATCAGGTCCTCCAGAGCAGCAGAGGACCTAATCACGGCAGGGAGGTGACAGCATGTCTGCCCAGAGGAATTCAGAATTTCTCAGGGGCAGGGACTCCTGTTTTCTTTTTCAAGATAACTTGGTTAACTTGTCATTTTAATTGATAGGTTTCCAAAGCTAGGGGAGCTAGCTATAAACTCGATATACAGGGCAGTATGTACAGTAACCCCTCTGTATTTGTGGATTCAACCATCTGCATGTGAGTGGAAAATATTTTTTAAAATACAATAATAAATACAACAACCAAGATAATGAAAATTTACAAAACACAGTAAAACAACTATTTATATAACATTTATGTTGTATTAGTTATTGTAAGTAATATAGAGATGATTTAAAGTATATGGATGGCAGGATGTGCATGCATTATATGTAAATACTACTTTTTTTTTTTTTTTTAAGACTTAGGGTCTTTCTCTGTCACCCAGGCTAGAGTGCAGTGGCATGGTCATAGCTCATTGCAACCTTCAACTCCTGGGCTCAAGCAATCCTCCTACCTCAGCCTCCCAAGTAGCTAGGACTATAGGCATGTGCCACCACACCTGGCTATTTTATTTTTTATTTTTATTTTTTTTTTTTTGAGACAGAGTCTCACTTGTTGCCCAGGCTAGAGTGAGTGCCGTGGCGTCAGCCTGGCTCACAGCAACCTCAATCTCCTGGGTTCAGCGATCCTACTGCCTCAGCCTCCCGAGTAGCTGGGACTACAGGTATGCGCCACCATGCCCGGCTAATTTTTTTTGTATATATATATTTTTTTAGTTGGTCAATTAATTTCTTTCTATTTTTGGTAGAGACGGGGTCTCGCTCAGGCTGGTTTCGAACTCCTGACCTTGAGCAATCCACCCGCCTCGGCCTCCCAAAGTGCTAGGATTACAGGCGTGAGCCACCGCGCCCGGCCTCAGTATTTTATTTTATTTTTTATAGAGATGAGGTCTTGCTATGTTGCCCAGGCTGGTCTCAATCTCCTGGTCTCAAACAATCCTCCTGCCTCACCTCCCATAGTGCTGGGATTATAGGTGTGTGCCACCATTCCAGGCCCTACTCCATTTTATATCAGGGATTTAAGTATCCTCAGAGTTTGGTATCCATGGGGTTCCTGGAACTGATCCCCTGCAGATACTGAGGGATGACTAGATCGCCCAGAGATTCTGGACTTTATATTCAATGCTGTGGTTGGAGTAGACTTTGGGGTGTCCCTCTAAGAAAAGAGGTGGTGTAATTGTAATACATATTTGTGCTAGAGGGAGAGTGAACTGAGCATTTGGAGAAACAAAAGGGTAAAGCGTGGCAGATAACTAATATTTCCAATTCTCCTTTTTCAGTCCTCTGTTCAGTAGGCCTGGGCTGGTCTTGTAGGCAGGCTGTGTTTGTTAGCAAGTGACTTCCAGGCCCAGAGCACTGGAAGAGCTGGTGCACTGTTCGCCACACTTTTCTTCCACAGTGAACCCAAAGCTTTAGGTTGAGATGGACGTGTCATAAGATTGAAGCACTCTTGAAAACTGGGCATAAAGGCTTCTAACAAGTAAAAGTGCAGTACACATTTTTAATTTGTTTTGTTGTGGTGGCAGTGGTGGTGGAGGACACTTGTCCAAGAGCCTCCATGACTTACATGGACTTTATGTGAGCAAGAAAAAAATTGTATGTTTAGCCACCTAAAAGGATTTGTTTTATGGAGTTTAGATTCGGTTGAGGGGCTGTACTGGGAGATCCAGAAGGCCACATGTGGCCCCAAGGCCACAGGTTCCCCACCCCTGAATGGATAGTTTATCTTAGACCATTCAGTGCTAAATTCATATGGAGAAACATATATCTGTATATATCTGATGGATGAAATAGGAGAAAATAAATTCCAACTTTTAAAACAAGAAAAATAGGAGTAACTAATATATCTCAATTGAAGCTTTTAAAATATAATGTAGTGAAAAATACCACAAGTGAAAAAGGGGATCTGACTACCTGCAAATACCATTTTTGAATATCAAAAATATCATAAACTAAATGGAAATTAATGACATGCTGGGTCAAAACATTTTTTTTTTTTTTGCAACAAAGGGTTAATGCTCTAATACATAAGAAGCTCTTAAAATGAGTAACTTAAAATACCAGCATCACACACATACACAAAAAAAGCACAAAGAATATACAAAGAATATAAACTTATAATTCTTACAATTCATGCAAACTGAAATACAAACAGCTACCTTCTGGAGCCATCTGACCCTGAACCAGTGATGAGGGGCGTGTTTGCATTCCTGCTCAATTAGCAATCATAAAAGAAGATGGCAAATAAACACCCTGAAATATTTTACATACCAGAGTTTATTCACATGCATATTTATAAGAAGTTGGAAAATGTATGATTCTAGATTATAAATTTTTAATATTTTTCTGTATGTCCAACTTTCCTTAATAAGCACTTATAATTTATAAAATATAAAAAATATCTATTTTTGGATGTGTTGGATCTTCTAGTTACGAACCACAGAATCTGAAAGATAACAACGAATGTCCCCAACAAACTCTGATTCAGGAAGTTGTTGGTTGATCTGTAAAGGGATCTGAACTCCAGAGAGAGTGACTCATAAATAATTATTACTTTTTATAATACAAATGTTTTTGGAAGAACAGCTAAAGTCTTTATTAAAAAAGCATTATGCCCCTATGAGATTTTTCCATCCCTAAGATTAATATCATAGTTGAGAAGGCCTGAGCATTTTTCTACCTTATAATCGTACATGAAGAATTATTCTGTGCAGTGCCACAGGTTAAATGCATATCATGAAATCCACTTCCCTCCCTATTGCCATTTCTGTCACTTAATTCAATGAAAGTCCACAAAAATACAGTATGACTCAGAATATTGGAGCTGTGGCTAAGCAAGAAAAGTTCATTCAAAATTGATTTTCTTTCAGGAATCCTTGATATTCTTCATTCCAATTGTTCACCTCTACTGTAGGGCTCGGTAAACACTTAAGGAAGTTGCCATGCACTGCAGCCTGCCGGAGACATGAAGGAATGTACAGGAGGATAATCACAACATCATCAACCCAATTCTCCAAGGTAGCTGGCCAATAATGCTGTTCTAATTGAATAACTTATCCACAGCTATTTCCCCTGGGAGAGCCGAAGGCTCAGCCTCGGCAAAGAGGCAGATGGTGCCGCATATACAATGAAACCTGTAATTTTCTCTTGCCATTGGACATGTTAACAGTGGGCTGTTTCTGCTTATTCCTTAATATTTTATTTTAATAGTCCCTTCCCAAATTATAATGTAGCATGAAGCAGCCAAAGACGGATTCAGTGATACATATCATATTTAATTTATCATACCTCTAGCTCAGAGAACAACTCACTTGGTAATCAGCAGCAGTATATGTCAGAGACAGGTGCAAACTGAAATGAAAGCGACAGAAAAGGACCCAATTAAAACCCAAAGGGGAGATGAGTTTTCAGGGTGGTGTGGCATTAACTAGCAGCAAAGTGTGGAATATTAAAGGCATTCTAATTCTTATTTTTTTTTTTAAACAGTCATTTGGCATGGAAGGTGCACACCCAGTGTTTTGGGAAGACAATGGGAAGGTTCTGTTTTCCGCCCACAAGACTGATTCAACCACTGGAGTCTGGAAAGGGATGAAGAGCTGCGTGGCTGCGTGGCTGCTTGATTTTCATCTTCTAGCGGCAGGCAAAGTTGGAAGAGAAGGAAGTGCAGGCTTAAAGGGCAAGCAGCGACAGCCCATCAGCGATCTAACAACACGACAGATGACAGGCCCAGAGGCAAACCCAGGGCCACCAGCCCATCAGCCTGGCTTCCAAAGAGCAGCTAGCTGCAGCGATGGAGGAAGATCATTCAGGCTTGAGCGTTTGGGCCTTGCTGGGTCCAAAGTCTTTGTGCCCTAGAAACAGCCCTCTCCATAGAGAGACCCATTCCTAGAACCCAGTGAAAAGGAACCAAAGTAGAATAGCCACAGAGAAAGGAGGACCACTCCATCATTCATGTGCAATAATACTTCCTAGGCAGAAAGTATGCCATAAAAAAAATATTCCATTCTGCAAAGCTACGTCTCGGAGGAGGAGGGCTTTCATAGCTGCAGTGAGTAAGTGGACCATTGCTGGTGTTTATCAGAAATGCCAAGTCACAGGGAGAAAGTGCTTGAGGTCACAGGGCAGCACAGGTCTGCCTGCGGTAATTGAAAACAGGTGATGAGATTGGGCGGATCTTATTTTGGAAAGGTAAATTGGTGCTGCAGCACTCTGACATGGAAAATTCATGAAGCCTCTGGTTTGGATTAGACACCCAACATGCCTTTCAGAAAGAAATGACACAACAATTAACGTGTCAAATAATAATGTGCCACTTGGAGATAGATAATTGTACCCAGCGTTAGGTAGTTATTAGGTCAGAACGAATGCTCATCCTTTCAAAGGCAGAGGCGTCTATTCACTCTGGCATCCCACTGTAAGTACAGTATTGTGTTCATAATCACACAGGCTGAAGCTGGGAACATTGGGTTTTATCTGATTTTTCTCCTTTTGGAAAAATACTCTGATGATTCCCTAAACAGCAAACTCAGTCGTGTGAAACACAAATGAGTATGATGAAAGATTGTCATAGTCAGAGGAGAGGCTTTCTTTGCTTTTCACATAAAATAAAGCAGGAGGACTGTCCCTAAGAAGCTTTGAGCATATGCAACAAAAACTATCAGACCTGAGTTTGCTCATGTGTAAAAGATAGTCTTTCCTCCTGATGATTTAATGCACGAGGACATCAATCAGTCACATCATGGCCTCAGAAGTCCTTGTTCAATTTCTGGTGCCATAACTTACTCGATGTGGGATTTGGACAAGTCATTTAACCTCGCTGAGATTCTGTTTCCTCATTTGAAAAATAGAAATAGAAGAACCTGCTATATATTCAGCTCCACATTTGTTGAGAAGGTCAAAGAAAGGATATGAGAAGATGTTTTGTAAATATAAAGGGCTATATAAATATAAGACATTATTTTATTCATGTTCCAGATCAATTAATGTTCACTTTATGGTCAAATATGCTATCTTTTGAGCAGACACAGTTTTACCTTAGAAAACTTGGGCGATGGCTTCAGTCCTTACAAATCAAAGGACTTTTTCATGAATCTGAGGCCCTCAATGCCACCTGTCCAAGACTGAATTAAATACTTACTTTATCCAACCAAGAATGAAGGACTGAAATAAGTAATTATTATGTATGCATTTGCTTCTCCTTTATGTACTCAAGCATGTTTATGGTGAGATATTAAAAATAAAAATATTTAGCCATTTTTGGAAGGAGAGAAATACTGTGTTTGGGGGTATTTCATCTGCATAGCCTATTTAACTGGTTATTGTCCAAAAGTATTTAAAGGAAATAAAATACAATTATATGCTACACAGAATGTTCAAAGTGTTCAATAGCATTTTATGGGCAAGAATAGTTTCTATGTCTTGTCCCTCTATGAGGATGCATTCTCAAGTGACATCTCGACTGCATGGACCACAAATGGCAAAAAAAAAAAAAAAAAAAAAAAAAAAAAAAAAAAAAAAAATTACAGTGTGGTCCTTGAACTTGAGTAGCTTATGATAGACATTCTTACCAGTAAAGTGATCTTGGTAGGGGAAATCAAGCTAATCTATAATAAGCAGATAGTTAAATTAAGTAGTACTGAGACAGAGGAGAGATGATGAATTAACCTGTTGAAGATATATACTTTATTAATTCAGATTAGAGACTATAGATATGTCTGTTCTAACATCACATGAATGTTGCCCCCAGACCCTTGCATTCCACAAAAAAAGTACCTAGAAATGAATAGAGCTTACAGACAAAATAGGACTGGCAGTGTGAATCAGTGCCCCACTTGAAATCTCTTTATAATCCTATCTTGAAAGTGATATTCCATCCCTTCTGCTTTTTGATATTTAATAGAAGTAAGTCACTAAGTCCACCACACCTCAGGGGGAAGGAGATTAATAGCGGAGAATTTTTGGACTATCTTTGAAGGCATCACAGGATGTCCCTTAGAGGTAAGGGAGTGTTCAAAGAAGAGAGAACAACGTACATGGAGAGGCCAAAAGGCTGAGGTGGAAAACCCATAAACTGATAAACCTGTGTTCCTTGGGATCATCTGATATTGGCTGCCACAGAATGAGGCAGTGGCAACAAAAATGAACAATCCAGCATGAGCCTTACCACCTCTTCCTAGAAGGCAGAGGGAGGTGTTGGTAACGGTGGTAGGTTTTAAGTAGCTTGGGGGAGGGCACAGCAAGGCAGATTCTCTTGAATTGGTTGGTAATTCCCGGCATAATTCTAAGGCATAAGTCGGCTGCTCTTCTTTCAAACTATTCCCTAGAAAATATTCATTTTATTTGTACCATTTTAAAACAGTATGGTTTTCTTAGACCTGATAATCTCTTTCAGGAAGTTAAACCCTTGGGTACAAGAAGTTTAAACATGATTTTATACTAGTATTTTGTGACAATACTTATTTGGCCATCCTGTGGCTACTACAGCCCTTCCAGACTTGGGAATCAACCATAGATCCAAGGTTTTCACATGGCTTTGTGGTCCTTCTTGGCACAAAACGACTAGCCGAGGGCATGACCCATTATCCTGAGGCCCCTATATCAACTCTTGCCCCTATCTCTCAAGTTTTCACATTCCCTCCTACTTCTGGGAGGATCCCTATATCTGATCTCTCATTTCACCTCTGTCAATATTTATTTTCTCTGATGTATTTCCATGCATGCTCGTGGGCCCATGACTATGTGTATCCTATATGAGTGATTCTCAGCTTGGGATAATATCAATTCCAGGGCTCTACCTCAGACAATGAATTCTGGTTATTGTAATGGGCACTCTAATTTCTGCAATCTCAATTTTAAGCATCCCACTTATCAGCCATTACTTCCTATCCATCCTCGTTCAAACACTCCCATTTCAATTACTTTTTAACTTCATGATGACCTCTAATCAATTGACGCTTTTTGAAAATTCTCTCTCCTCTTGTCCTCACTTTCATGTACTACACTATCGTTCAGCACTACTTAACCACTTCTATTCAAAGTTCATAATATTCTTGTCATTCTCCTCTTCGTATACCTGCCTGGAAAAATTCCAACCTTGGTGAACTATCCACCTAGTTCATGTTGGCATCCAAGCAGCAGAACATTGCCAAGAAAAATCATACAACTGTGTAGTCTGGTCTTGTTTCAATTTATTATCAAAAGTTCATATGGACGGACCTTTGACATTGCCAGCTAATCCGTCTACATGTTCCTAGTTATTTTACTTTTGTGATTCTTATAGATGAGTATTATATTAATATAGCATCTCTATATTGGGTTGAATTTTGACCCCCAAAAGATATGTCCAAGTCCTAACTCCCAGTACCTATGAATGTGAACTTTTTGGGAAATGGGCTTGTTTTGCAGGTATAATTAAGTTAAGGATCTCAAGATGAAGTGACCTGGATTTAGGATCCAGTGAAAGGCGTCCTTGTAAGAAAAAAGAAAGGACAATTCGAAACACAAAGGCCTAGGGAAGGGTGCCTTGTTGAAATGAAAATAGATTAGAGTTATGCTGTCACAAACCAAGGAATGCCAGGATCCCTATAGAATGGAAGAGGCAAACAAGGATTCTCCTGCAGAGTCTTCAGGGCGAGTGTGGCCCTGACAACACCTTGATTTTGGGCTCTGGCTTCCAGAACTGTGAGAGAATAAATTTCTGTTGTTTTTAGTGTTTAGCCTACTAGTTTATGGAAATTTGTTATGGCATTAGGAAACTAACACAACCTTCATCTCAAAATTCAAATCCTTTCTCCCATTCCACACCCCCACTCCTGCCCAGTGAATGACCTTATGCTCTATTTAATAAAATAGATGTGATCAGATGAAAACAATCTCATGTTTCCACCAATCCCATATGCCTACCTGCATGTGTACACAACGTCTCGTCTTAAGGTCCCTCTTCCCATCAGAGACCCCTGTCCACTACTCTTTCTTACTCGGGTATATATTAAATCATTCCCTTT